TCTTTGACGATATCAATAGTTACCTTTGGAATAACGAAAATAAAGTACAGACATCTGCAGCTTAGAGTGGTCATTCAAATAGACCTACCTCATTGATTTGAATATCAGGCCATCCGGATAGATAAGAAACATAAAATTTGGTGTGGTAATTTCTTGTAGATATGCAAATTTAGAATTAACAAAATATAAGTCTGGTTGCCACAATCGATCAGCAATAAATTTATGAGCAACTAAGATTGGATGTGTACAGTTGTGAGCTAAGCGACGATCATGCCATCCTAATGCCAAATACATATCCACTTCAAAATCCTAAACACCTAATTGCTAGATAATGCGTCAGCCACACTTTTGCTTACAAAAATAAATTCAAATATCGATTGAGCATAGCAAATGCTTGATAATCCTGATACTGCAATACTCTTCGCAACCACTCATAAAATATCTCATTTTTATTTAAGTAAAGACTTTTTGCAATTTCTGGAACCTTGGAATAAAAAAAAGTTGCTCGACAACTAAAATCAAACAAGTGTAAAGCATACCATAGTTTGAGCTCTAAACGAAGACATTGACTCAATATATACACCAACGGAAACAGTAGTGCTTTTTCCTGAAGTTTCTCAAAGGTTTCATAACTGTGCCGTATTATTAAGATCAGAATGTAAGAACCATAACGGTTACTGTGCACGATACCACATGCAGTTCATATAACAAATAACTAATTCCAAATCATAACCTTGATCCTGAGCAGGAGCTCGAAACATATTGTATCCATTTCTAACCATACCATTTCCAATTACACTTAATATTCTATCTGCAGACTCTAGCCTAGACTAGGACAAATAAGTATACTGAAGAGATGAAACAGAGTACACCGCTGCTGCCAAAGGCAAAAAAGTTACGAGAGGATTATAGTCAAAATGGCGTAAACAAGTTTTTTCACTTTTTTCCTGCTGTTGAAAAACAGTAACCGACCAAACTAGGTTGGTAGTATGGTTTCCTGAATTCCACGGTTCGCAAAGTGAATGAGTTTTGAAATCATGATCGAATGAGGGTTCGTTGAATGAATTCCGCCGTTGCCTACCACTGTACCTAAAAACTGCAGCAGTTGTAGCAATTATCAAAACGACGAGACCTATACATATTTAACCTTGAGAATTTTCCACCATTTAATTTAATCAGTAAACTAATCAAAATAGCATTTTTAAAGTGTTTGAAAGATAATATTATAAGCAATTAAGATTGGTTTTGAGTAGCCTTTAATTCACTAACCCATAATAATCGTCAGAGCTTCTGAGAGTTTCTCTTGAAAAATCCCTCCATTCCTTCTCGAGCAGGTGTGCGAAACTTTGTAAATGCAGTTTTTCCGCGGCTGATCTTTCCTAAACTAAAACAATATCTAATCTCCGCTTACATTTAAACCTATTTCTGTGACTTCGCTATATATATTTATATAAGAATTTATTTTAAACACTTGTTTATAGACAAACTGTTACAGCTTAGGATACCAAAAAACGGAGAGAACGACCAATACACCGTTGCCTATAAATTGGACAACAAGTTTGACAATCTGTTCTTCGCATAAAATGTGACAAATTCTAGGAAAGTTAAGCAATTAGAAAGATAATAATCAAATTTTGCTTTGAAAGAAATCATCATTTTCTTTTTTGGTCAGAAATGTACGCCTAAACTTTGAGCTGGTAAAACCTCAGCAAAATTCTGAGCTCTGTGTATGTGTAGATAAAACACAGAAAAACCAGAATTGACGCAAGTTTAATATTTTATAGACTATAATGTATCCTGTTCTACTGATAATTTGCTCAATAAATGCAATTATACTATACTGATAATAACAGACTTTGCCTTCACAGCCCTAAATTAGTGTAAAAAACATAATCAGTCCTCCAATATATTACACAACCTTTCTGACTGTCAGAATATTTCCATCCAACGTTTCAACTTCTTTCATCAAGCTAAAGTATTTAAAGAAAATTCTACGATGATATGGTCACTGAATACTGCTTAAGACGTCACTGCAAATTCACTTGTTTGATGTCACCGATGCTTAAAAATGCCCATAAATTGTAAAGGAAAGACTAAAAAGACATTCTGAAAAAAAAAAGCTGACCGTTCTTAAGATACTACTAGTCATTACTTTTTTTTGACAATATTTCTGCATCGTTTAAAAGTCAGATGGAACGACGGTGACGACAACAGCAGCAGTTGATAAAAAAAACTTTTTATACTAAATAAAGTCTTATCTAAATCATAAAGATTCAAGACGACTTTAAAAAATATTAAAGCATAAAGACAAACGTAGACTTTTACAAACATCTTATATATTGATGTCACAAGTAAGAAAAGGATATGTTTGAGACATTTAAAGATAAACATCAGTAAAAGAAAAAAAAGAAAATAACTACTTACTTTTCTACTTTGCTTTGCTTTATCTTATAATCACCAAAATATAAGAACGATCTTTAGAAAAATTCAGCAACCTTTTGTTATATCAAACTAAACAGTCACACAGCAAGAAATAGAAGAAAAAACTTTGCTAATGACTGCCAAAGGTTACCTGAGGTACAGCTGTGGCATACTGAAAAAACAATAGAATCAGCAAAATCCAGAACAATAAATTCATGTTGTCATTTTGCCGTCACTTCGATTCAAGAGCTAGGCTTCCAAAAATATAGATTTCTGCACTTCATTACTAAATCTGCAAAAGGTTGTCTTAACAAAATGCTCTTTAGCAGTCCCGTTTGGTGACAAGATCTGACAACAGGTGTAGTCAATCAGCACTGATAGTCACTGACTAGTTTTGACAGTTTCAGGTGTCATCAGCGCACTATTTTGAACACAGTTTTAGCGTTTAGTAAGTAAAATAGGAAATACCCAACTACAAAACCAAATTAGACACAACTGAAGAAACTTAATTTTATTTCGCTTTAATGCTTCAGAACGATAGCATCATGTCTTCGACAATCTGAGCAATGACTGACGATGGTATTTCAAACATTTTATAATGCTTAAGTTAAGCGTATCCTATCATCCTAGGAATTTTAATACTTAGTTATAACCCTCTTCAGCAACCAAAAAAAAAAAACCATTCTCACATCACCAATGGCTATAACTGAGTGCTAAGATACAGTAAAAGCTATATTTTCCGCTACTTATCTCACAATCCCCAAATTCGTTCCTTCACCTTACTTCACCCTTCTTTTCTGATTTTTTTCCCTTGTAAATCCCAATAAAAAATATTTCAGATTAATTTTTTTACTTTCACTGTTTACAATAAAAAAAATTAAAAGACCTAAATATTGTTGATCATTAACGATCAATTTAAATTGGACGAAACATAAGCAATAAATAAACAGCCAGAGAAACGATAAAAATGTATAAATTTTTAGTGAATGCATTACCGTTTTTTACGTATGCTTTTTTTTTGCATTTTCTTGTTATTCAAAGAACAGAAAGAAGAAGATGAAAACAAAAAGAGGATTTCTACCTTAATCTTTGAAGTCTATAATGCCTGATCAGTATATTGAACTTTGAAAATGTCCGATAATTTCATGTTTGATTGTTTTTTAAGAACACCACTGGGAATTATTAGTGAAGTGTAAAGCTGAGCAAAAAAATTTTTCTAGTTGAAAAAACATAAAAGCTGAGAAGAATTTCAAAAAAATAACAAGGCTTATTTTTTTTCCTTTTTCTTTTTTTTTCAAGAACAAAAGATTAGCTATAAAGAGCAAAGAATCTTTAATAGATTCTTTGATTACGTTTATCTTCAGATAAAGAAAGCAAAGCAAAGCAAAAAAAAAAAGAACAAAACAAAACAAAAAAACAAAAAAAAAGCCGATGAAAAAGAAAGACGTTTAGCTGGTGTTTTAGACAGTGTTAAAATTGAAGTAAAAAACGTTGAATGATTGCATATTGATGAGACTGCCGTTGGTCCATGTCACTTTGATTAAACAATCATTACAAACTACAAAAAACTATTTAATAACTGTAAAAACGATGCTCAACAACCTTCAATCTGATTTAATTACCAAAAAATTTAGAGCCGTATTTTAGTGTTTGAAAACAACAGTCGCTATTAACCATAGATGACAAGTAAGCAACTTATTCAATTAATTCTAGACCTACACCAATAAAAACTGGATAGACTAAAAAATTCAATCATTTTCATAAAATTTCACTAACACAATCCTTAATACATTATTTAAAAAAAAGGAAGTGATGAAAAACAGTACTGTCGACATAAAGAGTATTACCCCTTACAAGTGGCAACAAAGCCTCTCTTTTATCAGCACTTTATTTAAATAACAATTAGCCAGATGTCACTGTTTCAAACAGATGTACCAAAATATTTATCAGATGTTAATCATTCAATTGGACGACT